TCCCCTTGATCTCCTTTTGTTGTCTTATTGCTCTAGCTAGAACTTGAAGTACAATATTGAAGAGGTATGGGGAGAGTGGACAGCCTTGTCTTGTTCCTGATTTTAGAGGAATTACCTTGAGTTTCTCTCCATTCAGTTTGATGTTGGCTGTTGGTTTGCTGTATATAGTCTTTATTATGTTTAGGTATGTTCCTGTTATCCCAGATCACTCCAAGACCTTTATCATGAAGTGGTGTTGGATTTTGTCAAAGGCTTTTTCAGCATCTAGTGAGATGATCATGTGATTTTTGTTTCTCAGGTTGTTTATATAGTGGATTACATTGATGGATTTTCATATGTTGAACCATCCCTGCATTCTTGGAATTAAGCCTACTTGATCATGGTGGATGAGTTTTCTGATGTGTTCTTGGATCTGATTTGCCAGTATTTTATTGAGTATTTTTGCATCAATGTTCATGAGGTATATTGGTCTGAAGTTCTCTTTCTTAGTTCTGCCTTTGTGTGGCTTGGGTATCAATGTTATGGAAGCCTGGTAAAAAGAATTTGGCAAAGACCCTTTTGCTTCTATTGCATGGAATACTTTGAGGAGAATTGATATAACCTGTTCTTTGAATTTCTGGTAAAATTCTGCACTGAAGCCATCTGGCCCCGGGCTTTTTTTTTGTTTGGGAGACTTTGATAACTGATTCTATTTCCTTAGGTATTATAGGTTTATGTAAATTGCTTATGTGTTTTTGATTTAATTTTGGTAAGTGATATCTATCCAGAAAATTGTCCATTTACTTTAAATTTTCAAATTTTGTGGAGTATAACTTTTCAAAATATGACCTCATGATTCTCTGGATTTCCTCACTGTCCATTGTTATGTCTCCCTTTTCATTTTTAATTTTGTTAATTTTCATACTCACACTCTGTTGTTTGGTAAGTTTGGATAAAGCTTTGTTTATCTTGTTGATTTTCTCAAAGAAGCAACTCTTTGTTACATTGATTCTTTGTATCGTTTTCCTAGTTTCTACTTTATTGATTTCAGCCCTCAATGTAATTATTTCCTTGATTCTGCTCCTCTGGGGTGAGTTTTCTCCCTTTTGTTCTAGAGCTTTCAGTTATGCTGTTAATTCTCTTGTGTGACTATTCTCCAGTTTCTTCATGTGGGCACTTAGTGCTATGAACTTTCCACTTAGCACTGCTTTCAAAGTGTGCTAAGTTTGGGTATGTTGTGTCTTCATTCTCATTGAAATCTAGGAAGTCTTTAATTTCTTTTTTTATTTCTTCCTTTACTCAGGGATGGTGCAATTGTGTATTATTCAATTTACATGAGTTTGCAGGGTTTCTGTGATTTGTGTTGTTGTTGAGTTCTAATTTTAAAGCATGGTGGTCTGATAAGATACATGGAGTTATTCCATTTTTTTGTACCTGTTGAGGTTTGCTATGTTGCCAAGTATGGGGTCGATTTTTGAGAAGGTATATTCTTTCACGTTTGGATGGAGTGTTCTATAGATGTCTGTTAAACCAAATTGGGTCATAACTTCTATTAGATTTTTTGTATCCTTGTTAAGTGTCTCTCTTCTGGTACTGTCTAGTGGTGAGAATGGGGTGTTGATGTCTTCCACTACAAGTGTGTGATGTTTTATATGTGCTTTGAGTTTTAGTAATGTTTCTTTTATGAACGTGGATGGCTTTGTATTTGTGGCATAGATGTTCAGAATTGAGACTTCATCTTGGTGGATTTCTCCTGTGATGAGTATGAAGTGACCTACTTCATCTCTTTTGATTGATTTTAATTTAAAGTCTAATTCGTTAGATATTATGATTGCTACCCCTACTTGTTTCTTGGGTCCATTTGATTGGAAAATCTTTTCCCTACCCTTAACTTTGAAGTATCATCTGTCTTTGAAGCTGAGGTGTGTTTCTTGTATGCAGCAGAAGGATGGATTCTGTCTTTGAATTCATTCTGTTAACCTATGTCTTTTTATGGGCGAGTTAAGACCATTAATATTGAGGGAATTTTATGACCATTGATAGTTCATTCTTATTTGTTTTTGAATGATTGTTGATGGTGGAATTTTATGTGGATTTCCACCACTTTTCCTTTTGCCTGTTGGTAAAGTGGGATTATCTATTGAGTATATTTTTCCGGTTCTAGTTAACTTCCTTGGTTGGAGTTTTCCTTCCAAAATTTTCTTTAGGGTTGGGTTAACTCTATATGTAATAGAGTTAAGGTGCAATATGAGTTACCTACTTGAGGTATTGCATCCCCATACATTTTTAAGGTACCTTTATTAAACATTTTGTATTTGTGTATATTTTAAAAAGCCTTTAGTGTAGTAGATTCCCATATTGCTCTTTCAAAAGTTCTTAAATGCTAATCCTCTCTCTATATATGCCCTGATCTATCCTTTCTTCCCATGTCTCATCACAATTTAAGGGTAACCTTTGCATTATTTCCCTTTAAACCTTTAGACCCTTGTCTGTGGGGGAATATTCAGAAGAAGAACCTCAGATTAACTGACTCTGTGTAATATTTGTATTACATATCAATAGGTAACTTGTAATTTGGCACAGCAGAAGGAATTTATTACCTAACATGATTCTTTGTGTGTGATATTCAAATATGAAGAGTAGTAAGTCTCCTACTGACCTGGCACTATGGTATGTGTCCTAACCCGTATGAGTCATCCACTGGTGGTGTGTTTCTTGTCACCTGGCTTAAGATGTATAACCTATGACTCTTTCCCTTCAGGGAGATGGACAATGGCATTATCTGCTAAACTCTTACTCACTGTCAAAGGCACTGACAGTTACAAAAAGCTGACATGCTCCACCGAGGTTGATTCAGTACCCATGCTCTTCTCAGAGCAGAGAGACTAGATAATTATTTTGTTCCATCTTCCTCATTTTATTCTTTCTCCTCCAATTAAAAAGCAAGTTTTTATGACCAAAGAGAATTTTTTTGGGGGGAAGATCTTATGTTCTCCCTCTTAGCTGGTTCTAGATTCTTGATCTCCTGAGTTTTGTTTTATAACCCAGCCAAGTTCCTTAGACTTCACATGTGATAACAATGACAGCAGTTTCTGTCACCATTGTGAGAGCTTGGTATTTTAGAACTTAAAATTCAGACTGCTTGTCTTGAAGAAGATATTTTATGCAAGGATCATTATTCTGTCCTTTGAGGAAAAATGTTTTCTCATAGGAAACATGAAGAAAAAAGTATGGTTAATGAAAGAAAATGGTGGCATGGAAGGGAAGTTCAGGAAGTCTTGAGGAAGATGGGATGAGGAATCGCTCTGACAGTCCATACATTTGAGATTCTTTCTCTGTGGGGATCATCTCCTGTGAGAAGTGTCACAAAGTGTCTTTCAGATCCTGAGACTTCAGCACGATGTCTTACCAACAGCAGCAGTGCAAGCAGCCCTGCCAGCCTCCTCCTATGTGCCCACCCCCAAAGTGCCCAGAGAACCGTCCTCCTCCAAAGTGCCCAGAGCTTCATCCATCCTCAACGTGTTCTGAGACTCGTCTTTCTCCAAAGGGCCCCGGGCCTCAAAATGTTCTTGAGTCATTCAAGAATTACAAGACAACCATTTTAATTCATTCTGTCAGTTTTCATGCTTCAAAGAATCATTAATAGACATTAGAAAATTGGTAAGATACATATATATGCATATAAATATATATGTGTGTCTCTGTGTGTGTGTGTGTGTGTCAGTGTCTGTGTGTGTACAGCAGATAAAAGTGGAAGACTGATGGTCTGTCTGTGTGTGTGCATGTGAGTTCATGCATGTGTGTGTTTCTGTGTGTACAAAAATAAGATTATGTACTGTACCTTAAGTATTCAGTATAGTATGTGTTTGGTAGTTCTGATAGAAACTCAGTTTGGATGTAGCACGGTCACAGATGGTCACACAAGAGAAGTGAGGGATATTGTGAGTTCATGCTAGTCACCTAAGCATGAACATACTTAGGGCAGGCATGATTTTAGTTCTTCTTCCACCATAATAAACAGTCTTATGGTCATCATCAATGGGGGGGTCTAAATATATACCTAAATATTGTTTGAGATGGCAGTCCTGAAGAAGGTCAGAATAAGGCCAAAGCCCATCACCCTCCCCTATGAGGAGCACATTCAGTTTTCTATCATCACAGAAAAGAAACCTATGCAGGCACCTTGACCTGTCTCCAGGTCCAGGGTTGTCAAAGATGAAGCTGAAACCACAGCTAACATCCTCTGTAATACTTTCCTTCTTTCAGCATATAGGCAAATCTCACCTAAAAACCAGGAATATAAATGTGCCATTGCACCAAAGAGTTGCAATGAGTTGAAGCAGAGCAAAGAACACAAGAGAAAAGAAATATTCTCTTCAGTGAAGAAAGAGAACTCAGATAACCAGTCAGGTCTTACTGAAACTATAAAGACAGGAGAGCCCACTGAGTCACAGAACTCTACAGTGATGATGTCCAGGAAGTGGATATTTCCTATTTTGTAGAGTCCCAGTTGAGCCAGTCATGCATGGATTTGCATTTTGGTTGGGAAATTCTTGGACCTGCCCACTGTCATTCAGCTCTACTTCCACTGGGCTGGGTGGCCAGTCCTATAAAGAGGTCCTTGGATGTATGATTGCAGACTCCTGGTACTCAGGCCTGGACTACTTTGGAGAACCTGGTGAGTGTCATTTCTTGAGTTTGTCTGTTTTCATGCTCTCTTTACAAGTTGCAGTAAATTTAGAGGGGTAACTCTGAGGAGTTCAGTTGTGATCATGTGATGAACAGTATCAACTTAGAAATTTAGGTGTGGAAACAGTGGTCCACTGTGATATGTAGTTTTCCTTGTATCTGGTATGCAGTTGAACACAGATTATTTCTCCTTCGTATGCATCTTTTGGTTATCTTTTAAGACTGTATACCTTAGCAGGTTTCAGGATCTGGAAAGTTTGGAACTTTCCTCTACTCTAAACCACAGACAACCAACTGTGATGTCACAAATGACAAGGGTGACCAGATGGGTACTCAAATTGCTCTGGGCATCAGGACTTGAGAGGACCTGTGTCTCAAAGATGCATCTCTCTGAAAACAGTCTTATTTGTTTCCTTGGAACAAAATGTTTTCTTCCAGGAAAGGCATGTAACTAAGGGGATTTTCAAAGTCTAGCAACACAGATTGCTGACAGGAAAGGGAAAAACCATGCTTCCTTAAAACAGGAGTAGGGGAATTTGTGCGTGCCTAGAGTAAGAAGTGGATCTGATATTCCATCAGTCTTCTCTTTGTGGGTCACCCCTCAAAATTCTCTTGTGATGTTTTTCAGATCCTGAGACTTCAGCACGATGTCTTACCAACAGCAGCAGTGCAAGCAGCCCTGCCAGCCTCCTCCTGTGTGCCCACCCCCAAAGTGCCCAGAGCCTTGTCCTCCTCCAAAGTGTCCAGAGCCTTGTCCTCCCCCCAAATGCCCAGAGCCTTGTCCTCCTCCAATTTGTCCAGAGCCTTGTCTTCCTCCCAAATACCCAGAACCTTGTCCTCCCCAGCCATGCCAGCAGAAATACCCTCCTGTACAACCTCCTCCTCCCTGCCAGCAGAAGTGTCCATCCAAGAGCAAGTGAGTGCTTCAACAGTCATGAGGACCAAGAAAAGACGTGGAAATCTACCTGTTACACTTCCTTAGAAACACTCCCTTCCTCCCATCAAAGCCTGTCATGGATGCAGAAGAATCTTCTCCACCCTTCACCCTCCATGTGTCTGTGGTCACCTGAAGGGGAAGGCATTCTTCCGAGATTGTGCTGCTGTGAAGGGGCTTCTGAGAATGATCCTTCCTCACTGTTTCAGTGTCCCAGATGCTCAGAGTGAAGAGCAGCAGCTTTCCACCCTGTGCACTCAGAGGATGTTTCCATAACTGTCAATAACCTTACCTGGATTGTTTTCACTGTGGTTTCATTTCCTGAATAAAGTACAATCTGGTTGATAGCATTCATGACTTTTTTTTTTTTACTAAAATTCACTTTGTTTCTTTTCTGATATACCCTTTTTTCTTTGTTTTTATTCTTTGAGTCCAGAGTCATTCTGCTGTAATCAGGTTTCAACTGAATTTTGGTTCATAACAAAGATTAATCAATATTTGTTTGCTTGAGAGACACACTATTTCATTCTGTATGATTACAACCTCTCCTTTAGCACATGCTAAGTTAAAATTATATCACATATGAATGTACCACTTATAGCATATATTCTCAGTTGACACTCATGTATTTTGCACTCACTCATCCTCTTCATCTGACATCTACATCTCCTTCAGTATTTGAAACATCCATGCCAACCATGTATTTTTTATGGTATTTTTAACATAATGATATGAATTTTCAGTCATTAGCCTGATAATGACATGAAATAATTGTTCCTTATGACTTGTTATAACTCCAGTAACAAGTGTCACAATTCTTAACCCATTAGTTCACTAGTTATCAGCTTGACTGACTAACTATAAACTATTTAAAATTCTCTACTATTAGGAGTATTTCTGAACTACAGATGGTAGTGCAAGAATATCTATGGCTTCCTTTCATTAGAATCCATGTAATGCTGCTGAATTATATGATAGTTCTGCTTATTGTTTAGTCCTTGCAGGAAACCCCACACTGTTTTACATATTTAATACGTTATTCTACTGTCTCAGAGTCTGTGAGTTTCTGTTCTTTTCCTCCAATCCCCTGCCAGAACTTGCTGGTATTATTTTTATGGCACTCATTGTTACATGGGTAGAATGATTTTCTTGTGTAGGTTTGTTTTTCAGTTCTCTAATACCTAAACATGTTGAACATTCTTTTGTTACTGTTAATTGTAGAAATTCCTAAGTTTGCCAAAGTCTTGTCTCCACATTGAACTAATGCATGACATTTGATTGGCACAATCTGAGGCACCTAATTATTATTAGCTAAATGGTAGTTACAAGTTGCTGATACCACATAGTTTCTACTACCCTCATTACCATCCCTATTTCAATCTGTAACATCCCATCATCATCACCAATACCAACATCTTTACCACAAGCACTACAAGCTATAACACCAACTAGTAATGCATCCCTAAATTATGGCCACCCTAAATACCTACTTACGTGCACCATATCCATGTCCATCACCATTTCCATGACCATCATCTCCAGCATGTCAACATCATCATGAAAAAAACCCCAACAAACAAGTAAATCATTGTTAAATGTAGGAATGTGTTGGTAAGGGATTCCAGCAAAGGAATGTGAGACCTGCATGGATCCTACTGTTGCTTGTTATTGTTTCTATCATTTATTAGTGTATAATCTCATTTTTCAGGACTCTTATTATGATATAACATAGGTTATATCATAATAAAATATTGTCTTAATTGAAGTACTAGAAAAATATTGCAACTTTATATTCAGTCCTATCATTTGACTCACAAAGTTCTTAGAAAATAAGGAATAAAATATACAGGTTGAACTCAGGGTCTAATGACCTTAAAAGATCATAAAACTAAGAGAATCAAATGTTTAATTTATTCTTCATTTTTCTCATGCAACAATGAAACATAAATATGCATTAGCTGAAAAGACCTTTTGTATGCTATTCTTGTGAGTGCACACATGTGTTCCATGTTTCTGGTTTTATAAGTTCATACTTGTAAAAATTGTACTGGGGGTCCCGTTTGTCTGTGGCTGCTGTTCATGGAGTTTCAGTGAAAGTGACTCATCTTGAGTGTCTCAGCCTGGAAATAGGTTCAGCTGCTCTGACTCTGGTGCCAGTGCTGAGAGAATTAGTAGCATCTATTCTGAAAATAATGCAATTATCACATATCATTGCAAAAAAGTCAAGTGTTTCATCATGATATTTAAATATATGTAGATAAACTATATTCAGCCTCATCTGCTGTAGTCAACATTGGAGACCAAAAATGTGGTTCTTGTGTCCTTTAATAAGATGACTTCTTTAAAAATACTGTCATCTTTTATTAATTCTTTGAAATTTCAAAGTTGTATTTCAGTGATATTCATCCAGTGACTTACTGATGACTGTCATCCAACTGCTGCTGAGTCTCTCCTCTTCTCACTCAACTTTGAGTTCTTTTCCATTTGCCACTCTTTGTCCCCATCATATCCAGTTTGTGTAGTCCAACTACTATGGGCCATAGAAACTACCCATGGGTGTGATCAATATAGCAAGGATCTCATCATGGAAAGCTTCTTCTGAAAGCTTTCATTTGACAAAAGCTCCTCAGCTAGTGGTGGGATTTTATACTTCCCTTCCCTTGAATGATGAGTTTTTGTCTGTTTTGTGCTTTCACCTGAATTGTGAACTCTGTGCCAATAGTGATGGGTTCAAATGTTAAATGGTCTGTTTATGTGAAGAAAGCAGTATCTACCACTAGGTCTTATAATCTTTCTGCCAACTCTTCTGTGAGAATAATGCTGAGCTCACACAAGTCTGTCACTCCATGTACTATAGGTCAGGTGACAGTCTTTGTGTTAATATTCCACTGTAAGGCAAAGCTTCTCAGTGTTAGCTTGCAGAGTTAAGAACTGGGAGAGGCTGGTGATACTTTTCCCCTCAGCAGTGCACACAACACATTTTGATATCATGAGCACTGGCCAGCAGGCATGTAGTGTCCAGGTAAGTACCTCCTACATTTCTCCATGTTCTTTCTCTTAAGCATTGATGTCTACCTAATTGGGGTCTTACCATGAAATTCTTGAGTGTAGACAAGTTACAGGCAAAAGACTGTAAGGGAGTGCAATATTCTATGGGACTCCACTGGCTAGCAAGTAAAAAGAGCTAAGGGATCATTGCCACTTAGTTTTGCATTCATTAATATAAGTTACCTACTTATATTGCACCCCGCCAGTTGTAAGTTAACTCCATTAAAATATTTTATGTATGTATACATTTTAATAAGTTTTTAGGGTGCCGGGCGGTGGTGGCACACGCCTTTAATCCCAGCACTCAGGAGGCAGGGACAGGTGGATCTCTGTGAGTTCGAGGCCGGGAGTGGACCGACAGCCTCCAAAACAATACAGAGAAACCCTGTCTCATAAAACCAAAAAAAAAAGCTTTTAGGGTAAATTTAGAATTCCATATCTAAGAAAAGATTATTTTTAACGTTCAGGCCTTTCATTTGACTGTTTAAAATCATTCTCTACATACCCTGATCTACCATGTCCTCTCATATCCCATCACAATGTCTGTCTTCTTTATGCATTGTGTCCCTTTAATTCTTTACACCCTTTGGAATAGGCTATATTCAGAAGAACCTCAGATGTAACTGACGCTGTTGTATTGACATCCCAGCTCAGTATCCAATTTTTTCTAGGGCATGGTAGAACTCAGACATTGCCTAATATGGTTTTTAGGTGTGATTTGCAAATGCGGAGAGTGGTAAGATTCCTACTGACCTAGCACTGTGAATTGTGTAATAAACTTGATGAGCCATCCGCTGCTGCACATTTCTTGGCACATGACCTCAGGTGTATGATGATGATTTCCGTTAGGGAACATGAACAATGACATTCTCAATGTCAAAGGCATTGAGAGTCACAGGAAGCTGACATGCTTCACTGAGGTTGATTCAGTGCCTGCGTGCTACTCAGACCAGAGCTACTACTAGTTAATGGCTATGTTTCATCCTCCTTGTTCTATTCTTTCTCCTCCAAAAATAGAGCAAATTTCCAGGGTCAAAGAGAGTATTTTTCTTTTTTCTAAAATTCTGTGTTGTCTCTCTTATGAGGTTCTAGATTCTCAAATTCTTCTGGGCTTTGTTTTATACTATAGTAAACTTTCTGAGACATGAAAAGTGAGAACAATGGCATTAGTTAGGATTATTAGTTAGATAACTCAGTATTTCAGAATTCAAACTTCAGAATGCCTTTCTTGCATTCTGCAAGTATCATTTCTCTGTCCTTTGGACAAAAGGTGTTTTCACACAAAGAATGTGAAGTATAAGAATGTTTTTTTTAGATTAATGAAACAAAATGGTAATAAAAAAGGGGAAGTCAAGAAATCTTGAGGAAGAGTTGGTGTTGAAGAATAGTCTGATAGTTCATAAACTTGAGATTCTTTCTCTGTGGGGACCATCTCTTGTGAGAATTGTCACATAGTGTCTTCAGATCATGAGATTGTAGTACAATATCTTACCAACAACAGCAGTCCAAGCAGCCCTACAAGCTTCCTCCTGTAAACCCACCCTCACAGTGCCCAGAGACTTGTCCTTTCTTGAAGTGTCTCAGTCTTGTTCTCTCCTGAAGTGCCCAGAGCCCTAGACTCCCTCAAAGTGTTCAAGTGTCAGTCAAGAATTACAAGACACCCAATTTGCTTCATTCTGTCAGCTTTCACGCAACGATGAATCATAAATATGCATTAGAAAATTGGGAATTGATAAATGTGGCTATTTGGCAGATAAATGTTTAAGACTGATGCTCTGTTTATCTGTCCATGAGTCTGTCTGTCGGTCTCTGTGCATGTGCAAGAGTGAGCACATGTATTGTATATTACATGTAGACTATGTGTTTTGGAAATTCTCATAGAAACTCCAGTTGGGGTGTACCATAGTCACAGATGGGCTCAACAGCTCTTCTCACAAGGGAAGTGTGGAAATTTTGAGTATTCAGAGTGATCACTTATGCAAGAACATGCTTAGAGCAGAGGTGATTTTAGTTCTTCTTCCAACATTATAATGAGTCTCATGGTCCTCATCAGAGGGGAGTCTAAATATATACTCAAATATGTTGTTTGAGATGGCAGTCCTGAGGAGGGTCAGGATAAAGCCCAAGCTCATCAGTATCCCCGAAGAGCAGCATATTAGGTTTTATATGGTTTACAGAAAGCATAAAATCTACACAGGACACACAACCTATCTCTAGGCCCAGGGTTGTCAAAGATGAAGCTGAAACCACAGCCAATGTCCCCTGTATTACTTTCCTTCTTTCAGCCTACCAGCAAATCCTA